GACTAATAAAGAAAATAAATGTGATCGACCTCTGCTCAAAACTGGAGAAGCAGAGAGGAAATCTCCTAACTAGTTTTCTTGTTGTTCAGGATCCGGGTCTTGATCGTCGTGATATGAAATTGTTAATAATAAAGGGTGAGCTAAACTAGCTCAGTAAGAATATCAACACTTACCACTGATCCGAAAAATCAAAGGGCAGTAGAAAACACAAAACAACAATTTATTACATACTTATCATTACTGATACGTAAATCAAAAGTTATTAAAAAAATATAAAACAACTAATAGAGCATTTAATTTAAGTAAATTCGATTAATGTAAAGAAAATAATTTATTACATACTTATCGTTACGAGTTTTTTAAAATCAGCCTATAAAGATAATTACTCATATAACATTACAATTTCATTTACAAATGAGCAAGAACTGCAATTTTCTTTTTTACCTGTTTATTGAAACCCCTGAAGGTCCATATGGATATTTTTCTATTCGTGAACGCAATATCTAAATTTGTCAATTAACTCGTTCATCTTCATACCCCGTCTGGTATGGGCGCTAAACATCTATCTCTTCGATACCCCGTTCGGTATGAGGGTGAACCAGATTTTCTAAACCCTTCTGATATGGGACTTCTAAGTCCCGTTCGACTGAGATAATGTCCACAGTAGGGTTCTCTATGTATCAAGTCCGTTCGTCTTTTCATAGAGTACCCAATAATTCTTTCTTACATAGATTCCAAGCATAAACTGATAACTAGTTATATACCAATAACTTATATTTACATATCAATAGTAGGTCATGCAAATAAACGATACGTACATCAGAAAATATAATTGAATATTTATTGCAAAATGAACCAACAAATGGGGGATATGCAGTGAGTTAACTCAAATAACCAAGAGAATAATTAAGTCTATCAATTTAATTCACACAATATAATAGTAAGCATTTTAAGCAGTACAGGTAAACTAAACAGTAAACAAAGGCAAATATGAACTGATCGGTTCCGCCTCCAGTAGTGACATATAATTATTCTTAGAGTTTTCTAATTTTCACAAAACACAGTATTATGGATTATTAACCTTCAATTTACGTAACAGAGAATATGATGAGGGATTCTTACCCCGAGTTAATGTTCGAAATACTATACTATCTACTATACATCCTGACGATCTTTGGGTTTCCTGAATTTTTAATATGAAAATTAAAACACTCGCCAAGTATTCAAAAATATCTCGAAATTCCAGAATAAGCATTTTAAAACCTTTTCGGAAAAATTTAGGGTTTTAGCACGACTCTGCTATCCACGGCGTCAGTTCGCCTTGACATTCCCGGTTTCGACCAGTTTAAGCCGATTTTATGCATAAACATGCGGAAAAATGGGTTAGGAAGTCTCGGTTGGTCAGAAAAGGCAAAAAATTGAAACTTACTGGCGGGGAGTCCTCGGGTGTGGCGGCTCCACCAGTTCTCCTTTGCGGCTGGGGTTTTTTTTCGACTAACTTGCACCAGAAAAGGACAATGGATACGATGGTCACAAAATCACGTGAAACGAAAAACAGAAAGGGGGTCATCAAAAAGGATTTTAGGTTTTGGCTGCGGCGACTTAGTCGAGTTTTACCCACGGTTTCTAACTCAACCATCAACCCTTTGGCTCTGATTTGGGCATATGGAGGCTCGGGATCGAATTCCAAGTGGGAAGGGAAAAAATACCTATTTTGGTGTTGGTAGTGGCTCCAGTGCAGCGACAACAGTGGTCGGCCTCCTTCTCTAGCGTCTGGTTCTTCGCCCAACTGCCCTTCTTCTTCTTCTCCAGTTACCACTCTGTCAGCTAGGGTTTTGATTCCCTACAAAGAAGAGTTTAAATACTTATTTTCATTCAATCCAGGCCGCTCATTTGAATCGATGTGGAACGAGAAGGATCGTTCGATGATTTTTTATTTAGGCTGATTGCATGGACGAATCTGGATCGTCCATCGCAATCAATTCTATCTGTCCGATCACGCCTGAAGAGGAAACACATTTAGGTCGTCCATGCGTGTTGGGTGTGCTCTGAACCGTCGGATCGTCAGGCACACGAATCGCCTGCGTTGCCTCCCGCATGGTACGATGTCAACATGTTTGCCACGCGGCATATTTTGGTTCGTTGTGACTGCTGACTAGGCCATCTCACATGGCCAAACTTCTTTTTTTTTTTTACGATTTGTCCCCTCATTTTTAAATTTTCTTTCAAAACTACCCATTTTATTCTCAATTATTAAACCCCTTTCTTCAAAATTGCTTTCAATTTCATCTCTAATTCATTTATTTTTAAAAAAATTTAATTAAAATCAAAATAATTTTTTAATTATATGTATATTTTGTAAATGAGAAAATTTTATTTCGAACTAAATTTTGAGTGCAATTATTACAATCCAGATCGTTATGCCTTCAAAATATATAAAAGATCTCCCTCCAAATTGTACATACAACTTTCATCAAATAGGGCTTTCCACAAAATTCTATATGTATCTATGAATGTAATTCTCAATCTAGTAATCAAAAGGATTCTGAGCATCTTTGGATTTATGTATTGTTCCCCTGATAATCATAGTTAACAAGAAAAAATAAAAGCTACCCAATTTTTGTGAAGAAAAAAAAAACTACTTAATCTAATTATTTAAAGATGATCATCATCATTTTTGGGTGCATGTTCTGGATGGCTCTGGTTCTGGTTCTGGTTCTGGCTCTGGCTTTGGCTAGGGATCTTTTCTTTAACTTTATCTGATCTCTATAAAAGGATAAATGCACACGTACTTTTATATCTCTGATTTAGAATTTGTGGGTGAGGTGCTCTTCTTTTCTAACAGACCAATCATAACAGCACACGTCTACTAACACATTGCTTTCTTCACCATCATCTTAATTATTATCCACCCTCCTTATTTCAGAACTAGCTCAGTGTTTTTACTTTTTACAGTACTATATATGCACATATATATACATTGCTTTGCCATCACATCATCCCACCTTTCTTTTCTTGGTTATTAACTGTGTCCCCCATGTATATAAATCTTGCAAATATACACACCCATTTACAATATCCTTCCTTTCCTTGCTGAATGAATATATATATTTTGGGCATGCAAGTACCTGTAATTCTATATCATAGGTTACTATATATAGTATTTTTGTTTCTGTATTTAGGAGATACGGTTGTTTTAGTAGTTTACTCCAAAAGATACTAGTATGCTGTAATTGGAATTCTTCAAAGAGCTACCCAAATGTTGTACAATTTTGTCAAGTTGTTTAGATATCTATTACTCTATTTACTGTAATCTAGAGGTCTAAAAAGATAGCCAAAAATAATTGCCAGTCTTAGGGGTGTTCCAATTCTATTTGGGTTGGAAAACTGGACCAGTCCGTGCCAAATTTGACCTAATATTGTTTGACATGATGATCCTTGGTATGGGTATAAAAGGACCCAAAAAAAAAAAAAATTAGTATATATTGGTTTACTCTTAATCCAAACTCGAAATAGATGTATTTAGACTGAAATTATAAAAAAAAATATGAAATAATTTTTAGTTTTTATATTATTTTTAATTAATTTTAAAAAAAATAAATTTAAGTATATTTAATTTTAAATCAGAATCTCACAGTTAATCAATATTTAATTTAATTTAATTTAATATCGAACTGATAAATATTTGTATTTTGTATTAAGATATAATATTATACAATGAGTGCACAAAAGTTAACTTAGTAATGAGAATTTTTGTTTGTCTAATATTATGTAGAAGTAAAATTATGAGCACAGGGAAGGAGAATTGAGAAATTCAGTCTTATCCAAATTATTGTTTTAGTAAAAAATATTATAGTTATCAAAAAATATATATATATTTTTAGATATATTATAATTTATTAAGATAAAATTTAATTTATTTATTATAATTATATTAATAAATTAATAAACCGAAATACAAATCTTATCAAATCAAGTATTATGATTCAAGTAATATAAAATTCATAACACTCGTAAAATAAAAAATTTTATATTCTCAATAAAATTTAAATTCGTAATATTTAAACAGTATATAAAAATCTTAATTACTGATAACGAAAAATCGGACAATTTTATTAAAAATTTTGAATAATGCAATATATTTTTTCACTAAATAATGATTAAAACCAAACCCTATATTTTATTTTATTTAAAAATAGAAGAAAAAAAAAAGAGAGAATGGCAAAACTTTTATTGCAATAATTTTGTATCCGTACATAATGGGGAAGTTAATGGTAAATATTTTATTGTCTTTTATTGGCCACTCAGACTGCATTTTGGTCAATTATCAATCAGACAGGTTTGGATTTGTTCCCTCCAATTTAGTCCAAACTCCAAATCAATTGTCCCGCACCTACCTGTACGACACGTTAATTCTGGATCTCCTGTTGGTATGAGGAAAAATATATTGCATAGCTTCATACCTAATATGCTATGATTATCCATATTTGTTCATTATAATTTATTTTAAATGTTTAATTTTTTCTATTTTTAAATAAAAATAAAATAATTTTGTAATATTTTAGTGTTTAAAAAAATTCTAAAAGATGAATGTAATTAATTAATTAAACTAAATAATAAAAATATTATTAATATATTAATTTAATTAATTAATCAAAATTATTTTTTAAAACTATCATGTTTTTCTTAAATTATGTATAATTTGTAAAATTAGTTCAGCCGTGTACAACTATAATTGTGGTGACCAACTCACTAAAAGAGCTAAGAAAGATTAACACAGATGTACAGAACAGTCACAGTAACAATAACTTAATAATATAGATATTTTATGATAAATAATTATATTAATTTAATAATACATATATAGTTTATTGTTTAATTAAATAATTTATACATAAATTTGAATGTAAACAAAAGGAAAATATATGATTAAAGAAACATATAGGAGAGAAATTTCACTTTAAAACTCTTTTATTTTACTTAAAAATACTTCACTCAGTTCCAATATAACCCCTTGATTAACTTCTCTCATACTGTTGTCATCTGAAAACCGGCTTTTGTGCGCGTATAATTGTCTGCAAATCTGCATTAACTCCACCAACCAAGAAATCAAAATTTCATGCTCCTAATTCACTGTGTTGTAACCCAGTGGTGTTCCAAAGAAATTTCGCTGAAAATGGTATCACATTTGCGGATTCCGCAGCGAAAACAAAATTTGGAAGTCCTTCCATCTCCAACATGTTACAAGCTTTAGACATGGCCGGAACTGCGCTAGAAACATCAGCAATCGGCAACAGACAGTTGGCAAGAAGTGCACTCCCAGTTGCAGTGAAGTAGCTTTCCCAGTAATGGGGTGGTGGAATGTTGTTGACGGTCTCAAGATTAATTTCAAATAGCTCCTCTTCGTCTTCCATATCCGATTCTGCCATACCATCTCGGTTAGCTATTATTCCTAGCGTAGGATTGTTTACCAAAGCAGAAGACATTGTTCTGACTTGCGAGGAGATGCAAGTTTATGTTATGAATCTTTAGAATGTTGAACATATATACATATATAGTTGATCAATTTTGTGGGTATTGGACGGGAAGGTGGGAAGTAGAACGCTGTTCAACAAATCTTTACCAATCACAATGGATCTTGATTTTCCGAAGCGTAACTCATCTTTACCTACTCCTACTACATCCATCATAACGTATTGCTGACCCAAGCATTTTTGTGACCCAAGGGGGGGTAAAAAAAGTTCATAGTTTCATGCATTGAGGCTGTGGATCAGTGGTCTGCAGCTCATATTAACAAATAGAAAATTTTTTATTCAATAACTACGAGACTGATTCAAGAAGTTAAACACGAATTTTACCGAAAATTCGTGATTTTTTTCTAAAATATAACTCTAATAAATATCCAATAAAGAGATCAAAAACAAATTCATATGAGAGTCCTATTATAAAAATAACCAAAAAGTAGAAATTTGAAGGTTTTTTTGCTTCATTCCATCCCCTAGCAGTTGGATTTAGGCATACAAGATCCAGCAACCTCTAATAAAATAATAGGTTTAAAGATTTGGAAACCTACTGATAACAGAAAACTGGTTAACTCGATAATACATGTCCATAGAGGAGCTGTTTGTGACCTAATATACACACCCACCAAAACCATAATAAGACATTCAATAGAAGTAGACCAAACCAGTAACTACCTCACTACTAAAACGTTCAATTTGTAGAATGGCTAGAATACGTAAACAAACAAGAACTAAACTATAAGACCCTACAAACTGTTCCAACCATTCCAAAATGAGTACATCTGATCTGATTAGTTGTTCTCTTCCATTTGAAAAAGAAAGAAGTATCAAATGTCTTGTTTTGCAGTTGTGCGTTTTGCAGTTGCGAGTTGCACGAACTGTCAACGTTAAAACCAGTGGTCTCCTGATTTAATGTCCGCACCAAAACTAAGGATTAATTTTTTTTTTCCTCAAAACACCCTCCTCAACTTCTTTTTTTGTTATAAATTTCTCTATGGCCCTACCACTCCTTAATTCTTTCCAATTCATCTCAGGCACAGGCATAGCTATATCCAGGACATGATCCAGAGCCTTACTTAGTTCAACACAAGCAAAACCCAATTCAGGCTCAGCACCACATATGACCTGTGCAAGGAAAGTCCGAACTCAGCAGGGCTCAGATCAAGATAATTCCAAGAATCCACTTGGGGCACAGTTCAACCAAAAGCACAACCTAACTTGCTTGTTCCAGATCATGATCCCATGCCTTGCTCCCCAGGATCAAGGACTAGGGCCCGATTCCAGATAGGGTCCAAGCATGGGTCACGAGCAGAGTCTCAGCCCTTGCTCCCATTCTCAAATCTCAAGCCTAGCAGGAATCACAAACCAAGTCTCCACTCAAGGCACAATGGAACATGGTGTTGTGTGTTTGTACGTGCATGAACACAGGTGCATTTACAGTGACATTCTTAGAAGAACAGTAGTCGTAATATTTTCTCCTCCTCAATAAGTTTAAGCCCACCATCTAATACAGAGTTAAGATTTTATAGTAACATTATCTCAAATATAGCAATATCATCTGGTTCCTCGCGTTGTAAAATTTTCAGTTGCAATAGATGCAGGTACTAAATGCCAGATCTATTAACTCTTCTGTTTCAGTTTTATTTTTAAAATTTTAAACATTTAGCTATGTCAATTTCTTTCTAGTTTTCCTAGGAGCAGTTTTTGGGTTTCTGCTGGCAATTATTTTTGCCTAATTGTCCTGTAATCTATGCTCTCTTGTAACCCACAAAAGGTGTTAGTGAAAGAATAAAATGACAGGCATAAAATTCAGGCTAAGTTTTTCCGCACTTCTCTAACTCAAAGAGATTGCTGGGTTCTCTTTGAAAGAGTCCAAACCAGTCCATCAAAAATTAGACTGAGAAGAAGGAATTTGCAGGAGTATTCTTTTTCTAATTTTTTTCTTCAAAGACCTATAACCTTGAAATGAAATCAGAAAAAAGAGTTCTAATTTTTCTCATATCACCTTCAAAAGAATCCTGGAAAAAGAAATTCTTCTCTCTCTAAACTGATGGGGAAACGAAAGGTTAACTTCAAGATTGGAGATAATTTGAAACCATGTTGTACTTGTTCTAATCAAGATTAGAGATTATCTTAAACCAAAATAGGAAGTTGCCAAGCAATAAGCATGATATAGAATTGTGCTAAAAAACACAAGTGTTCACATGATTACTAGGTTGCATGACGTAGAATTGTGCTAAAAACCACAAGTGTTCACATGAATACTAGGTTTCTCTTCCTTGATAGAAAGAGAAAGATATCTTCCTTTTTTCTGATCTCATTTCAAGGTAAGGGTGGGTAGTGGTGCTTCATTCATGGCCTTTCTTGTCAAACATATAAAGAGTATTATCTGAACACTATAGAAAACTTTAATGCTACACCTACGGCAGCCTTTTTTTTTTTTTGCAGACTTCTATTTTTTCCTTAAGAACTAAAAGCAACTTTTCTCTAACTAAAAAACAGAATACAAGACAATATCAGCCATACAGCCATGACAAAAGCCATAGGGAAATCAGCAAAACACCCGAAAAAAGTTAGTAAATTTGACAGACAATAGCAGCACCACCAAAGGGTTTTATCTGTACCAAGAAAAACTACACAAGATATCTAAACCAGAATCACTTCAAGAGTTTCTACTCTCTAGTTTTGAGATAGACTTCTCTTACATGGAGATCAACAGAATCACCCAAACCAGAAGGCTTCTGCCCTATTAAGGAGGTCAACAGATCGGGGCCTTTTACCCGATCGTCTTGTTGGCCATCGTTGCAGTTGCAACTTTCAAACATTCTTCAATGTTAAACACTCCTCTTCCCACCATTGTAGCCTTTAAATAGGTATGACTACAGCGAATAAAGCGTAGAAAATATTATAACCTCAAAAGATTTATCTCTCAATCTCGCCACTCTTTCTCTTCATCTTCTCTCTCCTTCCAAATTAAAGTCATGAAAAGGTTCTTCACATACACACTAACACATTAGAGACATATAAATACATGCAACATAATACAAATAGAAACCCAGATCATTTCCAACCCATAGGCATATGCCATCTACAAAGTTTAGTAGAGTATACACGGGGCACCTCAGTGCATGACACAGTCAAGTTTGGCAAATGGCAACTGTACGATATCCTCCAATACAGAACCAATCAACAACTACTAAAATAACCAGTATTATACTGAGAAGTAAGAAGTTTTGCCGTCCCAAAAAAAAGACAACTCAAAGCTAAATGCAGGAATAAACAGAAATTAGTCAATTACAATTATCAACTAAAGAATCAAATGAAAGAAACAATGATCTTATCACGTTAAACAACTAACTCCAATGTATCAACTTCAGCAGAACATATGTTTTTCCTTTCAGGTTAGACTACTATAGAGGCCATATAGTATCGTACTGAGAAAGACATCAACATATAAAAGAATCATAAATAGGTTTTAAATGAGTATTCATTAGTCGATAGCTTGAAATAACATATATATGATGAACACATTTAAAGGTTAAAAAAGGAAAATTCAAATACAATAGATTACTCTAATCATATCAAAATGTTCATTTACAAGTGTAGAATACTTTATATCTCCCCAAAACCTCCATCCATCACACGATTCATACCATGCTAATATATCCAACTAATAACAGTTAGACCCATCTATTTGCTATCCGTATAAGATTCTCTATTATTAGAAATGAGCACAAAAAAAACACAAGTGGCAGCTAAAATATAACGAGAAGAGAAAACAAAGTATAAATCAAGAAACAAGCGTACGCAATCAACCCACGGTGCTCCTCCCCTCCATCGGCCAGTGCCACCATCAGGTTCGTGCATGCCCTGGTTGCCCACACCACGAAGGCTCCTGCCATCAAGAACCTCGCCACCCCGCTTCCCTGTGAAACGAACAAGGAGACGGCCGATAGAATCACCACGGGCAGCATACAGTAACCAATCACGCTCGTACATGTGTGCAGATCCAGGTTCCCGTTCCTCCCAGCCAGCATGTTGAACACGACGTAGAGGAAGATTGAAGACACCACGATCCAGCCCAGGATGACCCCGAACTGAATCTTCCCCGCGAGCAACTGGAACAGACAAAGTGCGAGGTAGAGAAATATAGGGCCGGAGAGATCCGAGTCCTTGTGAACATTCGGGTTGACCCGAAAAGGATTGAGAATAGATTTGGTTTTCCTCCAGATTTGATCAGGATGGATGCCGAGCTCGTCAAGGAGAGGCTCCTCGTCTTCGAAGGATGCGGGGCCCAGCGAGGACGAAGAGGATGAGTGGATGGTACCTCCGAATGGAGCGGAGGAGGAAGCGCCTGCAGTGGCAGAGCCAATATCGAAGGACATGAAAGGAATCGCGGAGGAAGCGGATGGCCGCGGGGGCTGAAACGGAACCGTAGGGGCCCGCCGTTGCTGAAGACTGCCGCCTGCGGGGTTCCCGCCGGAGGGAAATATCACCGGCGGAACAGCGAATTCCTTCGTCATATTCCTTCCTCGGTGAATTGGACAATGAAGTGAACTTATTCGGATTTTAGGGTGAGAATTGGCAGGAAATTCAATTAAGCGGAGAGAAATCACTCGTTTGCTTCTGCAAATCTTCAGATGCTAAAAAAGAATCAGCCAACAAAGCGAAGAGGACTATCCGAGAAAGCCAGGAAGTGAATTTTGCTTCTGCAATTAGGGGTAGTTTTGACTTTTAATATTAAACTTTATTGAATTTTCATGAATTTACGCGCGAGATATTGGCCGGATGACGATTTCCGAGCGACGTAATTACGATAATGCCCCCCATTTTCACCCTCCCCAATGGGTCCCGCTGTTTGTTTTCGGGAATGAAACGACAGGTTCGATTAGGACTAGGCTCACAATTCAAAACCCAATAAACTTGGACCTTTGACCTCTCCAGCATGGTCAATTTAGATCGAGTTTGGTCAACGAAACAACGAATTGGACTCTGCTTGTTCTGTAATGATGGGTGATTTGGGCAAAGAGAAATTGGGCTAATCAGTCCTTTCCTTGAGAAAGTTTCTGGTCAAGATTTGAGTTCAGCTTGGCCCAAAAAAAATAAAATTAAATTAAAAAACTTTAAAATTTATTAACAAAAATATTTACTAAGTTTAATAAAAGTCTTTTAACTCTAATACAAAACATCCTCATATTCATTAAAATTATAATATTATAATAATACTCAATTTGAAACTTGTTTACTTGCCGGAGACTCATAAGAGTTTCATACATTGGGCCCGCAAGATCCTAGAGGCTGAAGGGATTTAGGCATGGGCTAATGGGCCTCTCTCTCTCTGTTGCTGACATGGCAACCAACCATTGGTTGTTGGAACCGCTGCGCTGTAAAGCAGACGAACCCTTCCACCTCTCAATGGCAAGGAATCGAGGATCCCGGCCGTGGACAAACTAGCCGCGACTCAACGCGAACAACTGGAGTCTTCCTGGAGTCAAACCCCAAAATAGACTTCAAGGAGCTTGTCGACTGCGCCAAAAGCACGAAACTCTGTCGGTCCCCCTCTCCGGCCGGCTTCAATAGTCTGGAAATGGAAGAAAATAGAGAAGGGCGCTTGTCAAGTCCGGTTGCGGTGATTGCCTGCGTAGCCATGACCTTCTTCTATGTTACGATACTCTACGCTCCAACCTTGATCCTCCGTCTTCCGCCTCCGTCTTCCTTCAAGAATTTCATGATCCGACGGTTCGTATGCGCCGTTATTTCTTCTATTGTCTCTGTTATCGTCTCCGCGCTTATCCTCCCTGTAAGCCACCCCTTTCCGTACGTCACTTTCCGCTACTAGCTTCGTTAATTTAGTGTGCTGTCTGCTGACAGCTTGAGTCTTTTCGTGAAGTTTATTGCATTTCTAGGTTCCTTAAGGTTCGGATTTTATGTGATTATCTCTTTGTGATCCGAGCATGCTTCAATCTTGAATTCTACGATGTCTTCCGAATTTTTTTAT